ATAGAAAGATAAGGATTTGAAAGCTACATTGCATTTTCAATTGAACCTTTTAAATTTCTGGACATCTTTTTTTTATCAAGTTTAAGCTTAAACCCTAAGGTTATCTGCAAAGATTACATACCCTCCTCATAAAGCAAACCAACTAACGCATTTGTAGACTCTGGCCTTTTTCTCAAGGCTTTGCGCACATCAACTGAAAGTTTAAAACAATATTAAAATTAACTGGTGTGTAGCGACAAAGGTCATTCTTGTTGATCAAAATTTGTTTAATTAAAAAGAAATAAATGAGCTAAACTAGGCTTAAGCTTACTTACTATGTGCGCACATGACCCCAAGAGCCATTATAGCATGCCGACGTACAGTTCTGTCAGGGCCAGCTATCAGACCTAACAATGGGTCAATAGCACCCAAGTCTAGGAGCAACTTTTTATTTTCATCACCTGAAAGTGATAAAAAAAAATCAAAATATGAAAATAAATAAAGTTAAATGACACAAATCTTAAATATAATTTGAAATATTTTTTTTAAAAACTTAGCTTACTAGCTTTTGTCATTTAAAAACTGGATTAAAATGGTAATTTATCTTATATATATATATGAATTAAAAATAATAGAGCTTATTTAGATTTTTTTTTACGCTAGAGCTTTATTTATGTCATAAAAAAAATTAATTTAATTTTACTTGAATTACTAACATTATTATTACTAACGTTACATTGTTATTTATTATCATGCTTTAGTAAACATTACACTCATGTTTTTGTCTGCGGAAGAAGACATATTGAAGAATCATATGGTCAAATTTTTATGTCAGAAATAAAGATTTACAATTCTGCGTCTGTATACTTGTTTTAATCTTTTTTTTAAAGGGTACATGTTTTAAGATGGTTGGCTAACATTTTTTATAGACATATTTGCTTCCTTACATTTATCAACAAACTTATATATAGCTTCACAAGCTTTAGACTGGACATCTTCTTCTGGGCTTCCCAGCATCAAAACTACTGTAGCGGCTTGCCGACTCTCCACAAGAAGAGTGTCAAACTGAAAAAAAATATATATTTACCTTTCAATTCTTTTATTAATTGAAAGAATTGCAAAATAAATGATCTATTGAACAACTCAGTAAAAAAATTTGGCTTAACATTTTTATCATGAAAAAATGAGAACATTATAAAACTAATATTAAATATGCATAAATCTGTTTTGAAGACCCATTGCAATAATTCTAAAAAGTTACCAAAAAATTAACTGATTAATATTTCCACCCAAAAATTTAATCGGCAGATATTCTTTGTAAACATAACCAAATAATCATTGATGTTATAAATTATGGAAGCAAACATTCAGTTTGCCTACTAGAACAAAATCACTTCTCTTTGAATAGTTTGTTGAGATCTTTAAGGAAATCTAATTAGCAATATTTATCTTTGGAACTTTCACAGAAACATTGTGAAATATTTGAAAAGGAGTGAAGCTGCAATTCATAAAATAATAACATTAAAACATAATGGATAAAACTGCAAGTGAGGAAAAAAAAAAGCAATCATAGTTTGAAAAAAGAAAATAAACATGAAAGTACTATGATGCGCATCAGGTGTACTTACAGTTTGGCCAAAAGCCTAATTGTTAATCAATATTTCCAAGAAGGATAAACATCATTAATATCATGGTTGACATTCTTCTTAAAAAATAACTTGCACATTTTCAAATCCAAATACTTTAAAAGATGTATAATATATGATCTAGTCTTAACTCTTCATTTTCATTTGAATTTATGTACCAAAAATATAGACTAGTAATTAGAAGCCAATAAGTGCTGAAATATCATTTTAATATATTTAAGTATACATTCAAGATTTTGTGGACAATGCCGTCATTTTGATTTTTGCAGTTGAATGTTATTTTTTTGCTTGCTAAAAAAGAACTCACCAAAAATACTTTGTTTAAGTGAATTTGTAAATCATTCAATTAAATTTATAAAGTAGGTTTACAACAGAAATTTAACAGGTATTTTTATGTGTGTATGGTCTTACTTTTAAAACTTTTTGCTACTTACAAATCATTTCAAAATCATTGAACTATTAAATTGATTAGTGAAGTTTTCATTTTTGTTTTCTTTAACTCTAAAATCATAAAATAATTATTTATTAAGATAGATTAGATTGTTTTAATTGATCCAAATAAATGGAAATGCTTTTTGATTATATTGTACATATTGATTTTCAGCATGTAAATAAATACATATTTTAACCAAGACAAAATTTTACAATTATAACAATATAAACAGAATACATGTAAAGTAATTTTCTAGCGTACAAATCAGCCATTAATTAACTTCTTTAGAGACAATAATGACTTAATTAATAATTATTTAGATTTGGTAACCATTAAGGGAGCAGGCTAGTAAATTTATATAGGAAGAATTTTTTTTTATATCTTTCCTTCCTAACTTTAAGAGAAAGAATTTGCTCTGATCGAGCTGATCTTAGGTATCTGTGATGAAGAGGGTGGGATGTAGGCCTATTATCCAAATAAAAAAAAAATTATATGTCAATATGCAATATTTTATTTCAAAGTAAAATATGAATATATTTGCATACCACATCCACGGGGGCTGTCTTTTCTTCTTTTTTTAATTTTTTACCCATTCTTGTTTTCTGAGAAAAAAGGGAATTGGACCTAATTTAAGGAATTAAAAATTCATATGTCAAAAAATTGTGAAAATAAGAAATAAAGATTAAGTGAAATTGAAATGCAATTATATATCCAGAATTTTGAGAAATTCATCTTAATTTAAATACTTGATAAAATAATTAGGACATATTTGACATTACTTGAGATAAATAAATTTAATTTTTGGTTTGAAAATATAATATATATTATATTAATTTATAAATTCAATACACAGTCATAGTAAGCTTATGCCTTTACTATTACAATTAGCCTAACTATTACTATTAGAGATGATCACTATAAATAATAAATTAAATAATAATTTTTTTTAAAATAATATCTAAAAGGGTCTATACTTAATGCCTAGTCTTAGCCTACAATATTTTAATTAACTAACATTTATTTTACTAAACTAAACTGTAAACTGTGCTGCAGTGCAAAGACTTTTAATTTAGGCCTATGCCTACACTATTCAATACTATATACTATATCAATGTTAATAAAAATAAAATGAATACACTCATTCTCAGTCATGTTTAACTTATTAATTAAATTTATAGTGTATAGTATAGTAAAGTCACAATTCAATAATTTAATGACTACAATATGACAATATTTTATGAATCAGACATGGCTATTATTGGGCCTAAAATTTGTATTGATAATTGATAACATTAAGCATAAATTTTAAGATTGGAATTGTTGTGAACTGTGCCTCAATTAAGTCAATTTGTGCTCATAGACTCATGGGTAAATTTAACCAATTGTAACTCAATATACTTTTAAATAGTTATTAATATTACTTATTATTTTGTGTTTATTTATGTAATCAACTTATGGGAACCATTACAAGGTTAAAACAGATTATAAACTTTCTTTCTTACTAGTTAGATTTTCTTCTGATCTTCATGAAGTTTTAAAATCATTTATTTTCGGTGAAAACCGGAAGTTGAAATCCGTTGCTAAACGACGTGTGCAGATGAAAAATAATTTCTGACGGCTGAAGCCGAAGCGACGGAAAAAAACAACTTTTGTCGTAAAGTTTCCATTGTTCTACTGTATTTATTAATTAATATCTATTTTGTCTTATAAAAATGCAATATTAATAAGAGTCTTTGAACCGTTTGAGATTGTGTAATTTTTGCAACGGCGAAGGTCCCAAATCATTCAATTCAACACAGTAAAATGGAAATCCCTTACTTTCTATAAATAAGTCTGGCCTCGCAAATATTGCAATGAATAAAAATATTGCATCTTACTTTTGGCGAGATATACGGCTGTCATAGGCGTCACTGTATATTTAAAATAATTTACGGCTGAACTAAATATTTTTTTTTTAACGATTAGAGTCCAAATGAAGGACATTCAACTTTTTCATACATTTAATACTTTAATATTGCAATGAATAAAAATATTGCATCTTACTTTTGGCGAGATATACGGCTGTCATAGGCGTCATTGTATATTTAAAATAATTTTTTTTTTTAAACGATAAGAGTCCAAATGAAGGGCATTCAACTTTTTCATACATTTAATACTTTAATTTATATTTTCAATATTGGTTCAATTAATCATTGATTCAATGTTAATAATGCCTCATTGATTTTAAGCCGATAAACTCTGACTTGTGTCTATCAATCATATTCTTTGTAGTAATTGTGCTGAGTAGTAGTAGACCCAGGAAAGGAAAAAGGGAGGGGATCGCCAAAGGCTCCAACATCGGGGAGAAGGAAGGCGCCAAAGTCGTCTCTATATATATCCTTATTGGATTTATAAATGATAGAATGCCACACACTTCACAAAGACAAGGGGCGCCAAATTTGTCTTTTATAAAGGTCCGCCTCGAGTGACCTTTTTTAAAAATAATAATTTGAGGGGCGCCATTTTCAGACTTCAGCCTGGGTTTTTCTTCGGCATGGTCCTGAGTGGGCCACTTTATTTATGTTTTATATGGTTGTATGACATTCTATCCCATAAATATTACATAGGCTACTTTTCAAAGATACAATTTTACTTAAAAATACGTAATTAAATTAGGTTACAAGCTAAATATCATGTTGACCACCTGGCAATGAAATGAGACAATAATTTATTATTTTTAATTTGATTACTACATGCATAGGAGCAAATCCCATCTACATGCATAGGAGCCAAAATGATCAATAAATTGATCGTGGGCCCTTAAGATATAGAAGAAGAAATCAAATTTAAACAAGACTTTGAATGAATCCGCCCCTGTCACAGTAGCAGAAACGAAGGAATGATGAAACTGCGACAACGATTGCTGCTATGCACCTCACTATATAAAACAATGAAAAGTTGTTCATGGCCATAAAATTGAAACATCAATCGATATCTAAGAATCAAGAATTGACAACAGTGCTAGGGTATACCCAGTGCTAGTTACACTTAAATATATTGTCGCATAATTAAAAGATTAGTGAACTAATTCTATAGGCTACATTTCAAAGTGCCAGCTAAAATATTAGATTTACGACGTTCGATTGATTAACAGAAACAAGATTAAGAATGTTCAGTAACTCCCCCACCATTCTAACCAAGTTTTATGGTCCAGAGTCAGCATCATCCTTGACAGTAGCAGACAAAGCTGGCGTACAACAACAAAGGCCGACTTCAGAGAAAGACAAGCAGCGTGAGGATGTTCCATCGGTCCAGGAAGACTCAGCTCCGGTTACCTCTAGCAATGGTAAGCAAAATTACCTTGCCATTCGTTAAATGAAACACACGGCCATTCGGTGGACCTTAATTACAGTCAGTAATGAGAGCCGCTTTGGAAATATTTTAAGCATATTACTTTTATTTCCGATTTTGCACACTGACGACACTGCACTCATAAGCAGGGCCTTGCAAAGAGAGGGCACTCGTCCGGCTGCCAACACCGGAGGGGGGGGGGGCGCGCGCGACCAAAATCGTCATTTCATAGGATCTTAAAAGTGAATTTAAAAAATCATAAGTAGGCCTGCTTAACAAATTGTATTTTTACTGGTCCGTGCCTTGTGGCACTTTTTTCTATAATATTTTATACCCCAGTACAGTTGCGACGCCATCAAATTTAACATGGCGGGTCCCTTGCAGGTCATAAAATAAAAAAATTTGACGGGTCCCAAATAAATGTATTAAAAATAAAATTTATTTATTAAGTAATATTTATTAATCTACTAACTTAACCCATTATTGACTTTTGTTGTCGATAAAAATTTAAACATTTTAAAGGCATTTAAAATGGAAGTTCTCTTACATGTAATGTTTACGCTTAATGAGCATATATACAATAATAGTAACTAATTTACTAATAAAAGTTTGCCAGGTCCCAAGTTTTTTTACCAGGTCCTGGGACCCGGCGGGACCTGGTGTAGCGTCGCAACTGCCCCAGTACGATATTAATAATAATTATAATTAAACAGTAATGGTAATAAGAATTATAATTAAACCGCGGCATATTCAGGCTTAGCCACAGACGCTGCTTTTCCCGCTGATCTGTTAGGTTGTGCACGAGAGTAGAAAGGATTACCCACCCACTTTGCTTGCCATGGACCCTTTAAACAATTTCATGGGGTTTCCATTTTTCACATACCCAGGTGGTTCTCAAATCTAAAAATATAGGCCTAAGGTTTGAGCAACAAAAAGAAACAACTCCATTTTTGGTTTTTGAATCTGTCTCAAAGACACAATAAAGTAATTTTGCCAGAAGAGATTCTGACAAAACTACAATGGATGTTTTATGGAGAATCAAGTGTGAGCCCCTCTCAGCAGATCCCCTCTTTCCTCTCCACGCTGCTGCCGATTACTAAAATTAAGATTTCAACATCTGGGGAGACAGTGGTTAATGGGAAATGGGCCGCCCCTTCTGGATGTGCGAGGGTCACAATGTTTATTGCCTTCTTATTTCAGCAGAAGACATAACTTTAAATAAAAAAATGTAACTATTAAACCTATCTGCAGGCATGAACAGCTGGAAAGAAAGATGGATGCATCAAAGGAAAGCAAGGGAGGAAGCTTGGAATAAATACTTTGAACACGAGCATACAGGGCCTGTCACCGCAGCACAGGATGGTGGCGATTCCGTTAGCGGCGTAGGGCCAGAGAGATTTCACCCCAGAAGTCGATGTCATCCTTGGATGGCACAGAGATGTCAGTTGTGGAGCAGCTGTTACAGTCACGAAAACAGACCAATTTTTAGGGAGTTTGACTTTGCTTAATGTGATTTTAACCTGGATGTCAGACTGTAAGGAATTTGACTTTGCTTAATGTGATTTTTACCTGGATGTCGGACTGAAAGGAATTTGACTTTGCTTAATGTGATTCTACCTGGATGTCAGACTAAAATTGAAAGGAGTTTGACATTGCTTACATTTTTAAAGGGGTTTGATTCAGCATGTTAAAGGAAGAGAAGCCTACATTATCTTGAGGATTGAACTACGTTACTTTATTGGATATTATAAAATTCTATAATATATTATTGATTATTGGAGGCATTGCCCTCTCTTGATAAAATTAAACAAGAAATGGTTTCAAATCAAATACATGCATTTGAAATTAGTTACATTTATTATTTATAAATATAATATAAAGAAATTCAATTTAGTTCCTTCAATTTTGTGATTAATTAAAATCATGGAACTCTGGAAAAAAAAAAATTGGAGCCTGCAAATCACCGGGCATCATTTTATTTTAAGACTAAGATTGATCCTCATAAGTGAAATTCGTTTATTAAAGTCTTATTTTCTATAATTTTTTATTTTATGTGTGACATGAAAGAAAAAATGTCATTATTTAAAAGATATATTGATTCATCTTCACTTTTGTCATTTGGTTCGGTACCAAACATACAGACAATAATTTTTTTTGTTAATTCACATAAATAATCCTTTTTTGTTTCAACTATGTAAAGAATGTAGCTGTATACCGGTAATTATATCAAATGATTGAAATGTACTTCGTTATTGAAGAAATCGTGTAAATAGTTGTTTATATTTTGTTATATTTCTTTCTTTCTTCCTCTTTGTTTCTAATTCTAAATGTTCCAAATGTTACTATTAATGTCCATAAATAGTAAAATCACAACAGACCTGTAATATTCTGGAATTATAAAATAAGCCATGAGATAGTTTCGAATGAAAAACCTGTGGTATTGAAGGGTTTTACTTTGGGATACCGGTAAATAAAATGTAAACAGTAATGTCACATCCCTAGTTTTGATGATCTTTTAGTTTACCAGGATGATACCAGGCTATTAAGAATAAATGAACATCTTTGAAAATAAAAACCATTTTATTATTGCATCATTTCCAACATTGAAATTGCAAAACATTAAAATAAAGCTCTAACTCTAACACAGTAACAATGTAAAAAAAAAAACTCAGCACGTTTTTGTTGATTTTTAAAAAAAAATGAGAGAACAACTTAACTGGATGGAATAAAAACCTACTCTGTTGTTAAGCACGGGATTCTTAACTGAAACTACATAAAAAAATTTTTTTTTTAAACTCCCACCAAAATGAACCATCAAAATCAATACAATAAACATTTTGAGCAGGTTTAAATGGAAATGTATCTTTTTTTTAAATTTCAACTTGTAATAAAACAATAACACACTAACCACATCGAGAATGAAAATAATAATAAAGAATTTACAGTCAGTACTTAAAATTTAGAAAAAGGCCTTTACCAACTAAAAAATTCAATGCTATTAAAATTAATGTGAAAACAATTGCAGTATTAAAAATAAAATATATTAAAATTAAAGCTTTACAATATTAATTGCATCAAATTTAATCTTGTTAATGTGATTGTTAATACATGTTTTATAGATAAGATTAATCAATAATCATTTTTTTAAAAAGAGAAATACTGGTAGAGTAGAGTGTATTCTTAACAATTACACTTCTTAACAATTACACTATTTGTTTACCCATGACTTAAGTTCAAATAACTATAGCAGACAAATATTTTTAAAAATGTATCCACCTTACATTTACATGTATGGAAATCTCAGCTGATATCCCTCTCAGCTTAACACATGTGATTAAAAACACAAGGAACTAATCCACAGCAAGCTGATTTTTCCATATCTGGCCACAGACTTTGTAAAATCCTTAAAAAAAATTATAGACCACAGCCTTGGGCTCTGCTCGATGAGACAATGACTTATGGGGATAAAACAATGATAATAGTTGTTACAAGTCTTCAGGGTTGCCAGATATTGATGAAGGTGAAAATGTCTCCAGCTTAAACTTAAAGTGCAGCTTATTATAAATTACAAAGCCTTTGAAGCAACACTTCTTGATATTATATCAATTCTAATCTGAAGCATGCAGCTGTTGAACAAAATGCAACAGCACAACAGCTTATCACACCAATGATCAGGATGATATACCTCAGAATTTGAGCATAAACTGGGTGTTGAAACAGTTGGCAGGGTTACAATGTAACATGAGGCTGGAAGTCTTGGTCTGGAATTGGCCACAGTAACAGGAAGTCAAGATAAAATAAAATTGATGAATGAATCCAACAAAAAAAAACAACAACATTGTTTTAAGTTTATAAAAAAACAAACAGAAAAACGGCTCAAAGGCAAAACTAAGTTTAGATGGCTGACAATGTGGAAAAAGATCATACAGCAGCTTGGAATCCAAGCATGGAAAATAAAAGCATCAGTGAGGTTTGAGTGAAAGGAGGTGTTGAGGCAGGCCTACCCCCAGGGAAACAGGAGGGATGGAAGTTTAAGTACAATCTGCTCCAGATTAACTCCAATATATTGGGTTGGTCATGAAACAAAAGTTTCCAGTACGGGGCATTCACATTAAATGTTGGATGTATTGTTTACAATTAAGTCAATAGCTCAACATTCTATTGCTTCTATTTACCCTGCTAAGTTTAAGTATTTTTTTCATAACTTAAAAAAAATAATAAAAATCAACTGCAGTTTGAAGTACATGGTACTTAATTAGGCTGAATACTTCAGTTTACAATTAAAGCAAAAAACTTTTAAAGCTTTTAAACAATGAGAGGTTCATCGATGTCACACATAGGATTTATAGGAGGTTGACTTGTTTCTGAGGAACAAAACAGAAATCAGAAGACTTAATACGTGTTCAAATTATACCTATATTCATGGATGCCAACATGTACCGTTTACCCACATTTTGTATAGTTTTTACAAGCTTGCCGAGGTGTACGGCCATAAAGGCTCTTCTACAAATTCCAGCTGACTTTAAAAAAGAAATATTTTTGCACAAGACACACTTTCAAAACAGGTCGTGCAATAAATTCAATGATGGACAACGAGAAGGTCAAATCCTATTTTTCCGTTCAAAACAACAAATTTGAGGATTGGTAGGCCATCTAAATTTAGAAACAGAGCAGTTTCATTGATATCATTTGTAAATAATACTAAGACAGAATAGTATGATAGTAGCTATTGTGTAAATTGTAAACCATAATTACAAATCCGTTAGTGTCATTCTTAACAAAAACTGCAGTTTAAGGAAATGTTCTTATAATTTATATTAAATAACTGAATGTATTGTATAATATTATCTATCAATCACTAGCATTGGTCATTATTCATATTTCCTACAACAGCATAGCTTAACCCCAAGGGTACAGTGAAAACTAAGGTTATAAGCTGAAAGTAAACTCAGCAACTTTGTCAAGATGGACAAACTTTATTTGACTTCGTCCACTTTGTTAATTAAAATATGGGAATCCGTGTTACTATAGCTGGCATAATGAAAAAAAGAATTAGGTCTGATTACGTCTGCATTGCCAATCAATTCGTCATCTGCTCCCCCCCCCCTCCCCCACAAGGCACTTACGACCAGCTATTTTCATTTCAAAGCTGCAATATGTTTACATCAATTATAAATTATGAATATGATCAAGGGGAGACTATTCATTTTTATTTAATCATTCAAAACATTGATACATTTTTTGAAAAAGTTGTAAATTATATTTTTTTACTGCACCTGTTGAACAGTTTTTGGGGAATTTTTGTAACTCTTTTTGACCCCACAGGTTGGCATGTATGTCTGTCTGTATCAACTAACTCTAATTACAAATAAAAGCACCCCCCCCCCCCC